AAGCAGCCATAGACAATATGTGAACAAGACTGTGTTCCAGTACAACTTTGTTGTTAACATTAATGTGAATCTCACTTCAATGAACAACATATAAAACGAAGAAGAAAAAGTCCTCTATTTACAAAAACAGACAGTGTTATGGATGTGGCCCTGCAGTTTGTAGACTCCTGGTTTACAGCCCATAAAATCAAGCCTTGATTTATAGTGTTTACCGATTTCCATGGTGTAAATACTCCCCACCATGGCTGCTTGTAAGCTACTAACATGATGTCACTGAATGTGCAGTTGGGAAGAGAGAGCTCAGTAGCACACCATTTCCTCCCTACGGATACGATAGTCGAGAATAACCTCAAGAATTAGATAATACTAAATGTGGTAAATTAAGTAGGAAGTCATGAGTTTTAAGTATTATGTCTTGTTTTTAATAGAACTTATTGTAAGTTTATGTCATTTAGTTTTTAATAATGGTTCCAAAAATTTATCGAAGTACCACCGTGGGCTTTCAGAGGGGAGCAGTCCCTGCCCCGTAGCCAGTGTGGATGCTGAAGGGCACAGTGGAGGCCCCAGAGGAGCAGGTTTTGCTATGTGTGCAGATGGAGATTTGGCTCAGGCCTGGAGCCTTGCCCACCAGGGCCCTGTGCCCCCGGGCCTGCTTGCTGGGCCATGGGCCATGGGCTTCTTGTCCAGGATGGTGTCTGTGCCTTTGCAGCTGATTGCTGGGACAGTCCTCTTGGTTGTAGTGTCCTGTTGGCCATGTTCGGTGCCCTTCATTGGTTCCTGATGAGCCAGCTGCCCTGGAGGGGGGCAGGGCCATCTCGCTGCTTGCTCTAGATCAGGGGTCCTCAAACTTTTTAAATAGGGGGCAGTTCACTGTCCCTCAGACCATTGGAGGGCTGTTGGAGAGTGTGACGCGCATTCCACACATGCGCACCGTGGGCTCAGGACAAGTCGGCTGCTAAGCAGGACAGGCAGCCGCGGCAAAAACACCTAGCAGGCTGGATAAATGTCCTCGGCGGGCTGCAGTTTGAGGACACCTGCTCCAGATGCTTCACTGCCCCTGGTTCTCTTGGGCCTCGTGGCTGAGTTGTCCTGAGGGAAGCCTTCCTCTCATATGTCAAACTGTTTATTTCCTTCATAGTGGTCTGGTTTGCTTGTTTGTTTGTTGCTTGCCTTCCCCAACATGAATGCAAACCCCTGGAGGACAGGGCTCCCCGATTACTCCCTAGCTTCCTCCTCGAAGGCACACAGTACATTCTTCTATTCCTAGGAGATACATAGGGACCAGATGAACACTTGTGTCTGTGCTCTCCTGGCTGCAGCAGTCCCAGCGTACAGTCCGGGTAGGTTCCCTCTCAGTGTGTGCCGGGTGCCCACCCCCTGGGAGACGCGAGCAGCTCTGTGTCCCACCCAGCTGCCGTTCCCAGATGGCAGCTGTCACTGTTGCACTGTTGTTCACCACCAAACCATAAAAAAAATCACTCTGGGTTTGAGCATGGCTACTGCCATGTTTGCTTCTATCTTCTTCCTGCCCTCCCCACCAAAAACGGGAAACCCTCACTCGTAGCATCTTCAGGCTGCTTTGTCCCAGTGGTGCCAGCCTCATTTACAGAGCCAGACACTCTTCTGAGAGTCAGGAGCCACAGCAGCCTCGCCCTCTCCCAGTGAGCCCAGGGGGAGCTGCAGGTTGGCTCTGTCCGCTGCCCGGCATGCAGTCCAGTGTGGGAGGGAGCAAGGCAGGCCTGAGTTTTGAGTGAGGGAGGAAGGAGGAAAGCTGGCCTGTCTGGATGACAGATTTGCCACGCACAAATATCCACACACGATGATGCAGAGCTTCAGCTCCTTGTCACCGGGAGTTTGATAAGAAGACACAGTGAGAAAGCACTTTGTGATTGGCAGGCCACTGGCCAGTGTCAGCTCTTCATTTCTGAGGGGCTTCCATGTGCAGGGTGAGCTTCCAGCCCCTTCCTTCCAGTTCCCTAGGATCTGTATCCCGGGCCCCTCTCCATGAGCCCCTCCTTCCTCAGCGCCTGCCACCTGCCCCCCTCCTCCCCATTCCTGCATCATGCTGGCATCTCCTCCTGCAGGCCGGTCATCCGAGCTGAGCCTCTCCTTTCCTCTAGTGGGCAATGTGGAGGCTCCATTCCTGGCAGGGTACCCTAGTGCCTGTCCCCTCTCCTGCTGTGTATGTGGGGGTGGGGGGGTGCATCCTGGGCCACTCTACCAGCCCCACAAAAGTTCAGGTAGATACACCCCAGGTGCAGCAGGCTTCTGGCTGTCTTTCTGTCTGTTACATCCATCTCTCCTTTTCATGGGCTTTTCTCATTCCCAGGTCACTTGTGGCCTTCAGCTCTCATCTCAGTCTGAGTACCCCCATGGCCTCATCAGTGTCCTGCCCGCACTGGTGTCTTAAGCTGCAGACATTAAAAACGTAATTAGGGCCTTTCTTAGCTGTCTTCGTGATTCTGCCTCCCCTCATTTAAAAGTTTCCTTTATTGAGGTCTGATTTACATACTACAAAATGTACCTATTTCAAGTGTACATTTTGCAGCAGAAATGAACGGCTGATGTCTGTCTTGTGCCTTATGATGACAAAGTACTTTCACATTTGTCTTTTTATTGAACTCGAAGCTACATTTTGATGCATTTCGACAAATTCACACATCTCTGTAACTACCACAGTCAAGATGTAGAATATTTCCATCACTTAAAAGCACACCCTCCCCCCCTCCCCGCCACTGCCCTCCCACCTGCTGAGGGGCCCTTACCGATCTCCAGCTCGCCCCACCTTCGACCACGACCACCACTGCTGGTGGGTGCCTGCCATGTGCCACGGGTTGTTACTAGTTTTCTCACCCAGTACAGGAGGGCAGTGCTGTTACCCTGTCCCCTCATAAGCAGGCAGGGCTCACAGAGGCTCTGGACAGACACGTTTCCATGGTCCCCAGCCTGGCCTGTGGGCTTGTGTCACCTTGGACAGGTGTTAAGTTTTTCTGAGTCTCTTTCCACATCTGTAAAATGTCCCATGCCTCACCCCTTTACAGCTCTAGGACTCCGTGGAACTGTGTCTTTACCCCCGTGGCCCCCGGGGGTGGAGTGGTGGGGGCACAGTAGCTGTGAGCCTACTCTGACTGTGCTGTACATCTTATCCAGGACACTTTTAGATGAATGAAGCACTATTAAAAACTATTGTGACTAGCAGGTGTCATCCAGCAAACCAGTCCTAGGGGTGCCTTGCAACCTGTTGTCTCTGACCCCATGTGTGGTCCTTAGAGCCAGCCAACCCGTCCTGCAGAATAGACTCCAGGTGCTCATGGTCCTGGAAGAGCCCGGGATCCAGCCTCGGCCTGCACATCCAGGTGTGGCCCGCACACTGCACATTTCTAAGCCAGTCCTTCACCTGAAATGTTTTCTTTCCTTTCATTCTCACTGATTTTTGAGTATACAAGTAATAAATACATCCTCCTTTAAAAATTAAAATGCTTATAGCTACGGTCCCCTTTGACTACTTCCCCTAATGCAGTTTCTTCTGTCCCTCTCCATGGGACCTGTGTCATGAGCAGAGTATGTTCTCCAGTGCCTGTGGTTTTTAAATAAATTCTGGCACACAGAGCAGTCATTCGGCAGCTAGCTCACTTCCCTCTGTAGTATGTCCTGGCTTTCTGTGCTCTTACATATGGGTTGAACTTATTCCATAATATTCCGTGATAGCTATTTTGTTATCACAGAATTGACTTCCAGAATTTTGCTGATGCAACAATGCTTTGTGAATATTTTTGTGTGTGACTTCTTGTGCACCCGAAGGAGTCTCTCTACTCATACATAGATCTGTCAGGCAGTGAAAGTGTTAGGTGGTGGTTTTCACAGTGGCAAATATAGAGGGGAACTTCCGGGGGGGCCCCTTGGAGGCAGGGTGGGTGCCTCCACAGTTCTGCTCAGAGCTTGTGCTCGCAGGATACATACTCCAACCTCGAGGCCCCGTCAGCACTGCCTGGAGATTCACTGAGCCAGAGACCCTTCCCTGACACCCCGGCTCCCCTGGCCCCCTCTCTCGTACTTGGACAGCTGAGGCCAGGTGTGTGAGAGCATGTGCAGACAGAGCTGGCATGGGCTCTAGCAGGTCTGCCCCGCTGAACCTGGGGGAGAGTCAATCTGTGTCTGTCCCCCACATACGGGGACAGCCAATGTTAGGGCCCTGCTGTTTATTGGTGGGAGACTGGGGCTGTAGGCCTGGAGCTCCCTGGGATGCCCTTTGGCCTTTAGAAAGGCCATCAAGCACTCATGAACTTGTCTGGTTTAATAGCCATAGAGGTGATGATTTTGACGATTCCCATTGCACAGGTGGCGACCCCCATTTGGCTGACATCTGACCATGTACATTGTAAGTTCTCACACATGGCCATTTGATCCCTCCCACTATCCCACTAGGGAGCAATTTTCATGCTTATTGTAGAGATAGGGAAGGTCAACAGGGAGGTGACTTGCTCACGACTTCTCATCTCAGCGGGAGGTTCCAAGCTCCTTTGGCTACCCTGTCCATTTGCACACGAGGCTCTTGCTAGCTGCAGCAAGAGGAACAGAGGGTCCAGGAGCAACTGGAAGGATACCTGTGGGATAGTAGACTGGACAGAAGGACCTCCTAGAAACTCAGGCACCAGGGCCTCTTCCAGGGTCCCACAGATTTTTTTTTTTTAATTGTGGTAAAATACACATCCCATAAAACTTACCATCTTAACCTTTTTTTTTTTTTTTTTTTTAGACAGAGTCTTGCTTTGTTGCCCAGGCTAGAGTGAGTGCTGTGGCGTCAACCTAGCTCACAGCAACCTCAAACTCCTGGGCTCAAGCAATCCTCCTGCCTCAGCCTCCCGAGTAGCTGGGACTACAAGCATCCGCCACCATGCCCGGCTCATTTTTTTCTATATATATTAGTTGGCCAATTAATTTCTTTCTATTTATAGTAGAGACGGGGTCTTGCTCTTGCTCAGGCTGGTTTCGAACTCCTGACCTGGAGCCACCACGCCCAGCCCGTCTTAACCATTTTTAAGTGTACGGTTCAGTGGTCTTAAGCATTTACATTGCTGTGCAGTCGCCACCGCCATGCAACTCCAGGACTCTCTTTGTCTTACAAAACTGAACTCTGCCATTAAACACTGACTGCCCATTCCCCACCTCCTGCCAGCCTCTGGCACCCACCATTCTGTGTTCTGTCTCTGATTTTGATTGCTCTGACAACGGTGTATGAGTGGAATCACCCCTCATCAGTCGTCTCGTGACTGGCTTATTTCACTTAGCGTAATGTCCTCAGAGTTCATCTGTGTGGTAGCATGTGTCAGGATTGTGTGGTAGCATGTGTCAGGATTTCCTTCCTTTTTAAGGCTGAATAATGTTCTGTTACTGTTATAGATATGACATGTTTTGCTCATTCATTCGTCCATGGACACGGGTTGCTTCTGTGTGTTAGCGATTGCAAACAGTGCTGCTGTGAACGTGGGCGTGGACATGGGTGTGCAGGTCTCTGTCTGAGTCCCCGCTTTCAGTTCTTTGGGGGTGCATACGCAGAAATGGAGTCTCCCATAGCTGCGATTTCTGCGTTGAGTTTGGAAGGTAGCAGGGGATGTGGCGTTCAGAAGGAGGTGGGGTGGAGAAGCCATGTGTGCCAGCCTTGGGTCCCCTTTGTTCATGGTTGAGGGGAGAGGACAGTTAGGGATGGCTTCAAGTTCCAGGTGGCATGCTGAGTGTGAGGAAGACCGTCCGCCTCTGCCCATTTCTGCGGTCAGGGTTGCCGTGAGAAGGAATGAAGGGCTCGTTTCAGTCACATTTCTGTATTGTTGAGGACAGGCTGTGTCTCCATTTGGCACCATCTTTTCCTTCATGGTTGACAATATGGTGGCACGTCAGAATGGGTGGAATGAGGTGATCAGTGGGAAGTCCGTGCCCAGTGAGAGAACCTGGCAACAGCCTCATGTCAGCAGGACACTCTTGGCGACTCCCTGGTGGTGTCTGGCTGCAACTGTTGTCCTACCCCCTCTGGTGTCAATAATCGCCCTGTCCTGTCTCTGCATGCATGCAGCCCTCCTCTCCACCAGCCCGTGTGGTGGGCTCCGCAGCCTGCTGCTCTGCACCCCTGAGTCCTCCTGTCTTCGTGCCCCGCTCCTCAACATCAGTCTGCGCCTGAGGCTGGCCGTGCCTGCAGATTTGTGCCCCTGCCTCAGCTGTGAGTTCTCCACCATGCAGCCAGAGCAGGCTGTGTAAACTGCATCTGACCACATCATGACCTGCACTGGGCGTAGCCCAAGATCCATGCTGTGGCTTGCCTGTGAGAGTCCCCCCTCGCCTTGTCTGCTCCCCTGCCCTCTGCCCCACTGGGCATGTCCTCACCTTCCTGGTCCGGCCTGAAGTTTCCTGCTCTCTCTTCAGACTCTCCCTGTCCCCCTCCTGGGAGGCCCCAGGGCACCCTGAGCATCCCATGTTCACATCCCCGCCTGCTGTGCCTTTTGAAGTGCTCTAATCGCATCTGCCTGCCCAGCCAGGCCGGAGTGCCTTCAAGGCCACGGCCATGCTTTATCTGTGTGTTGCTGTGAGAGGCAGCTGAGCATGTGGGGAAGAGCTGGTGCTTGTAGCCAGGCTGCTTGGCCCCGAAACACAGCTGTGTGCCCTCAGGCAGATTAGGTGACCTCTCAGTGCCTTAGTTGCATGTAAAAGGGGGTGATCATTTGTAAAGCTCCATGTAAGAATTTCTTAGTAAAGTGGTGCCTGGTCAGCCTCATGGAAGCTGTAAAGAACCCAGCTCTTTCCTTCTCGTCTATCTTCCAGCAGTGCTCCTGCAACAGCAGGGCTGCAGACTTCTCTTGGGAGTAACAGGTTGGGGAGGGGGACCCCAGAGACCTCTTCTCATGCTTGGGGGCCAGTGCAGCAAGAGGGCAGCCACTTAGATGCCACTGGCAGGAGGCAGAGAACCTACGGCCGATAGAGGTTTAGAAAGTGGGGCCAAGGCTTCCTCACAGGGCCTCTGGGGTCTGATTGTGGGGACGGAGGTGTCGAGTTCTTGATCAGGCTTTGGGTTTTGTTGGCAGAGGCGCAGTTGGAGGGGCCTGGGGGGATTGCTGCACATACCTGAAAAAGGCTAGGTTCAGGGACAAGGGCGCCCCATCAGGGATCAGTGTTGGATGCAGGCAGCGGAAGGAGTGGTATCTGCTGTCCCTTCCTCGGCCTGATGGGAACCCGTGGCTTTGCCAGGGGAGGCAGAAACAGCCAGGGCAAAGGCTTGTGTGTGTGTGGAGCAGGAGGGAGCCACTGCAGAGATGTGTGACAGGAAGGCCCAGGGGGATCCTAGAGAGGGCACACCACAGCCAGGGAAGGGCTCCAGGGATCCTGGTGGGTGCGGAGCTGGGCCAGAGCTTGGCAGGGGTCACTTTTGTACCACGTGGGCCCCAGGATGTGTGCTTTGCCACACGGTCTCTCCCCTGTCCTCTGAGCACCTGGGGGCTCTGCCAGGTATTTAGGGGAGTGTGGCCCTGCTCTTCGCTCCAGCCACTGCTCCCTGCAGGTCCCCCATCATATTTACATTTCTTTTTGTGAGAGATTTGTTTTGCATGGGCAAAGTTTCAAGCTCATCTGTGATTCGAAGGGTCTTCCGATAAATAAAGCGAAGTATGTGGGGTAAGGAATCTATTTCCTGCCATGGAAAAGGACTTTATGGGTTTGGAAGTGAGCATTTTGATAGCCGTGATTTCTTCTTTTCTTTTTTCCAAACAAAAGGTTTCACATATTTATTACTGAACCACCTTACTAGTGCGGAGAAATTAGAAAACAAATTAGAAAACATTTTTCTAATAAAACATGTCCAACTGTCCAGATAATGGTAACATTTTCAGCTTGATGTGGTGAGATGATAGTGACCTTGATACAGCATGACTGTGTGTGTCATCTTGCACAGTTCCTTGTAGACCCAGCTTGGTTCTTCTTTACTGTCTCCTCTTGGAGTTGTACCTGATTTTATTACCAGTTTTCATCCAAATCCATTGGGAAATAGCACAATTTTGCTTTTGTTTATTGGCCAGGAACCACTTGATACTGAAAGTCTTGTGAGACAACATGGCAAGAAACGAAGTCAACTTCGTACACCACGATGGTGGGGAAAGGGAGAGAAAGCTATGAATTTATTTTAATGGATACTAGGAAAAACTATAACCCACCAAGTATCACTAAAGCCCAGATACTATTGCTCAGGACAAGAGTAAAGTGGAAACAAAATTTAAAGGACAGTCCAAAGAAAATGATCTGTTGGCATTTGGAGCCCTGGCTGGACAGAGCTTCTGTCCACCATTTCTGTGTGTGGATCTCCTGAGGGTGTGTTCGCATGCAGGTTCCCATGCAGGAGGCCTGGCATGGAGTCGAGACTGCGATTCCAAGCAGCTCCCCAGTCTGCTTGCCGACCCCCAGTGCACACTTGGAGAAGAATGAGGGTCCAGGTCAGCTGGGGCAGAGCCATGATTTCAGACAGACTTCAGTCCCTCCAGGAGCTCATTCCCATAGGAGAAAACTGCAGAGCTAGGAGGGAAGAGAATCTGTCAGATGAACCACGGCTATTTTCATGTCAGGAGGCCAGATGCAGGTTATCGCTGCATATATATACTCAGTGTTTGGGGTGAACAGACTGTCATCTGCCCACAACTTTTTGCATATGTTGGTGCCTGCTGACCTTTTCTGTGAGCTTGGGAAGGTGGCTCCCTCTCCTGGGTCTCCAGCTGAAGTATGATGAAACCCCACAGGCACCCTAGGGTGCGTGTCTCAAGTGCAGCCCTCCGTGGCTGTGGGGCATTTTACATTCACGGCTTGTGGGACACTGTTACCGAGCTCCAGCGACAGCACTTCTCCTGAGAGCCAGGCGCCACTCTAAGCCAGGGGTCAGCTTTTCCCAACTGCAGTTAGGATGCTCAGTCTGTCCAGTGTACAAGTGACTTGTGGGGGCATGCAGAAAGAAAAAGCTGGTGCTTAGCGATGCCGCTGGTGATCTGAGACGGGGAGTGCATTAAACTGAACTGAACAACTTTATTGTTTGGTTCTTATAACACCCTGGGACACAGTCATTCTCCTTTTACTGAAGAGAGGAGGGGCTTCCCCAAAGGTACCCCCCTCCCCCAGAGAGACTGAGCCCAGGTGGAGTGTGGTTCCCTCCTGTCCAACAGAACAGCAGTCCTGCTCTCCGCCTACCACCCTGCACCTTTCCTAGGACTTCGTTGCACTGTCTACCTCTGCGGGGTTTACAGATTTATTGAGGTCTAATTGACATATAATAAACTTCCTACATCAGAAGTATACAATTTGATAAATTTTGATCTATAAATACACTTGTGACACCATCACCATAATCAAGGTAGCAAAGAAAGGAAGTGTAGAAATTAAAATAGGGGAGGCAGATTGCAATTGAAACTCTATGTACCTGACCATACTATGAGGCCATCCCTTACGATCATCCCACTAGATGCTGGAGAAGAAGCATTTGACACAATTGGACATCTCCTGATTAAAAACTCTCAGCAAACTAGGACTAGAAGAGGACGTTCTTTGCTATCCTCCTTCCCTGTGTAGATGTGCAGATTTGCCTCATCCTAAGACTATCGTTCCCTTGCCCCTCCCCCAGGCCAGTTCTCCATTTCTGTCCTTGTCACCAGTGAGGCTGGAATGGACTGATGGATGGACACAGGATATGTGCCAACTGCACGGGGTTAGTGGGGTAGGTTGGTGATGAACCTGTGGCCAGCTAACCTATGCCCTTGGCTTCCTCATTGGGGAAGCGGCATAGTACCTGCTTTGGGGGGGGTCTGTGGTCTCGGGAGACCATGGTTTGGCAAGACACGGATGCCCTGCACGGCACCAGCACACGATGCACGTGCAGTGGGTGGTGCCTGCCTGCCTCTTTCCAGTAACATCAGAGCTCTGGTCCTTCCCAGCCCCACCCAGGCCTGGAGCATGCGGACTTGTTTCGCCATAAGTTGTGCAGTGCACATTGTTCCCTGTGCATCTCAGGCCTGGGCTCCTGCTGAAGCTGTTTCCAGACCTTGTTCTGTGGGGCTCCCAAGAGCCTGGGTGACCCTGGGGAGCCAGATGCAGCCTTGCCAACGCCTCCCCCTCCTCCGTGACCCCAGCAGCTCTGCCATCTGTTTCTGTAGGATGGAGTGGCCTCTTAGATCCTGAAATTCACACAGTAGGTTATTTTTAACAGTCTTTTAATTAAAGGATAGCATACAGCCGGAAAGTGCACAAGCCATACGTTTTACAGTTGGATGGATGTTCACGAACTGAACACACCTGAGTAACCCCCCCCACCTGGGTCTAGGAATAGAGCGTTTGCCCAGAGCCGCTCTTGTCTCCTCTCCACCTCCCACTGCCCTGACCACTGCCCTATCCAGAAGTCTTGCCTGCTTTTGGCCTTGCAATCTAGCACAAAAGAAGTGTCCTTTTATGCCTGGCTTTTGCACTCAACACTGTGTGGGGACTTATTTTTGATGTTATGTGTAATAGTAGTTTGTTAAGGGGACAGTGAATATACAGACCATACTTTATTCATCTGGTATACTGTTGGTGGCCATGCAGTCTGTTTTCAGCTGGGGCTGTTCGAATATGGCTGCTCTGACCATTCTCAGAACACACACACTCATGCTTATGTTGGTGCTACCTGGAGTGGAACTGCAAATCTGTAGACTCACTGTCCTGTTCATGGGTGACAGTGTCCTTGGACTCTCCATGGTGGCCCCTATTGTAGGAATGCCCACTGCTGTCCCTCTGGCTCCACACAGATCTCAGGAGCTGTAATAGGGCACTAAGGCCCTCTGAAATGTAGGCATGTGATGGGCTCAGAGGACTCCATGGGAACCCTCCCTCCTGAGCACCTGCTGTTTACCTATCTGTTTCTGAGAAGGGGCATGTCCTTGTATTTGTCTTCCTGGCTTCCCCAGAGCCATGCACCAGAGACTGCCCTCTCTGTCCATGTGTGTGCCGCGTCACCCTTTCAAGAGCCCTGTAGAAAGCGTCTGTTGTCCTACTCAGATAGTGGATGAAGGAACAGCTGAGGGGTGGGGAGACTCAGCCCTGCTGGCCCTTTCTGCCCTGGAGCTCTCATTAGGGAGGTCACACAGCTGGTCTCAGGGGCTAAGGCTGCATTCTGGCTGACAGCTTTGGGTGGGAGAGGCACACCTGCTGCTTAATTACCTCTCGGACCTGGTGAGTGTGCACAGCTCTCAGACTCAAGATTCCCGCCCCGTACAGGAGCTCCTTGTGGCTTGCCCTTAGATTTGCCAAGTGACTTAACCAGAGTGAGCCCCCACTGGGTTCTGGTAGTTCCTGCCCCCCTCCCCTCCCCTCCCCCAGCGTAGAACAGACTTGATGACCCTGTGAGGAGTGCCCAGGAAAGTGAGGGGCCACCAGACACCGAATGTCATTTATGTATCTGTAGCACACTGACCTCTTCTGGCTTGGCAGGAGTATTCTGGGCATCATTTGTGGGTGTGGTCGCTTTTACCTATCTGTTTCTGAGAAGGGGCATGTCCTCATATTTATCTTCCTGGGAGTTTGGGGCTCCCCCCTCCCCCAGGATTCCTGGCAGCCTGAGTTAGAGCCCTAGTGGTGCTATTTCACCTGTTGCTTCTATTCTTCTTTTAATATTTATTATTGGAGACAAGGTCTCTCTCTGTCACCCAGGCTGGAGCATGGTGGTGTAATCATAGCTTAGTGTAACCTTGTAAACTTGGGCTCAAGCAATTCTTCTGTTTCACACTCAATAGTAGCTGAGACTATATGTGGGCATTACCACCCTTGGCTCATTTTTCTCATTTTGTTAGAGAGAGGGTCTTGCTATGTTGCCCAGGCTGGTCTCAAACTCCTGGCCCCAAGCAATCTTCCTGCCTCAGCCTCCCAAAGTGTTGGAATTATAGGCATGATCCACCATGTGTTCTGGTGTGCAGCCTTTCTCTACTAGGCAGTGTCTTGGAGGTTGTCCCTGTCAGTTTCTGAGAAGCTGGCTCATTCTTGTTTGGGATCCATCTTTGGCAGAACACATAGAGACTAAGCACTATGCTCGTGTCCTCTCCCATGGACCTTAGGTCATTTCTAGTCTTCCGTAGCTGGCATTCTTAACTGGCTGCTCCTAGCAGAGAGAGGCTGGGAGGAGAAACTCCTGGCCAGCATGTTTCACCAGGACCCTGCCTGGCTTCCCAGCGCTCCAGTTGTGTCTGTGTAGCATGTAGCAACCAGCCAGTTTACAGAAAAGGGCTGAGAGCTCTTGTGCTCTCAGAGAGGGCATAATGACAAGAAGAATTGTAAGTCCTGCGGACCTAATGCAGAGGCTAGGTAGTTAGTTTGATTGGAATGAGCTGCTGAGTCAGAAGGTGGGAGGGAGGGACAGTTTGGGGGCAGTGGCCACGGAGAGCAGCCCTGCCTGCCCTCCTGCCCCTGTCTGTAGGCCTCACTGCAGAGGTTGGGCACTGCTGTCCCAAGCCCTGGGCTTCCTCTTTCCGGGCTGCTTGTGGGGTGCAGTCAGGGCTCTGCGTGCTGCGAGTCTGGGCTGGCGTTTCCGTCCCCCGGGCGGAGTTGCAGCATATGATTACATGCTCTGCCTGAGCGGTGCAGGCACTATGAGTGCAGGACAGTCAGGGCCACGTGGATGGTGCAGGCCATGTGGGTGGCTGGCTGCTCTGGGGGAGCAGGTGGGCCCTGCTGCTGAGGAAGTGCTTTTGCAAATGGTGAGTTTGGTGGCTGTCGCCGGGACTGCACCTGTGAGACCTTACCTCTGTGAGTTTGGGTCTCCCACAGGGTCCCCTTGGAGGAAGGAACCCTCGGAGCCTGGTGGATCTGCACAACCCCTTGTGGCTGTGCCCAGGGTGGCGTCTGCCCGTGGGAGGATTCCCTTGTTTCCATGCAGCTCTGCAGGCGGGACAGAGAAGGGCCTGGGGAGGCTGCATCTTCCAGAGCAAAGAGGGTGGATGGAGCATGCTTTCCTCGCTGTGGGAGACAGGGTGGGATGTGAGCTGGGCCTTCTGGGGGATAAGGTGCCACCTCTCACACAAACTTGCAGCAGAGGCAGTTTGGGTCACGTGCCTGGGAACATGTGTGGAGTTTGTCAGAAGCAGGAAGACTTATACTTGCTGAAAACAATGGCATACCTGGGACCAAATCACAGACATGCACTTGCCTGGCAAAGCCCCAATGCATTCACCCACGTGTCCTCAGCAGACACAACTGTGTTGTGGGGCGCGAGGTACATCAGCCGCGGACAGTCGGCATGAGAATGCTTAGCACGTTGAAGGCAGACTGCCTGCTTCTGGGTGCCATCTGTGGCTGTTTTGGTTTGGAAGGACAGCTTGCTTGCTGATGAACACTTCCAAAGTCTTTTGAGCTAAGTGGTTTTTATAAATTCCTGTCTAGATCATTCTGCATTTAAAAACAATGATGACAGCTTCCACATTGTTGGTTTTTAAAGTGAACCAGTTTTTACAGGTGCTTTGTGTCTGAGGCCTCAGCAGGGGCTGCTTTGAGCCCAAGGAGTAGGTTGTTGGGCTGGGCTGCCAGGACAGTGCCACCCATCGCCCAGGTGGTGAGGGGGCCTGGCCAGACAGTGAGGCAGGGAGGGTGTAGAACCGCTGCGTTGGCCGTGCTCGGTGTGCACTCCTCCCCGTGGGCAGTCTGGTGGGGAGTAGACGCCAGTGCCACCATCGAGGCCCACAGCTCAGGGTGAGTATTGGGCATGGGCCCATGCCTGGGTCTTCTTGCTGGCCCTGGCTCTCGGGCATCCTGGGGACAAGGCAGAGACAGCACTAAGACTGTGTGGAGGTGGCCCAGTGTAGCTTCAGGGGAGTCTTTGTCAGGTGCTCACATCACCGCAGCCTGGCAGCACCTGGCCCCCTTCGCCCCACCCAGCCTAAGCACGGGATGGGCCCTGCGTGCTGGGCAGAGCCTGGGCCGGGCTAGTGGAAGAGCAGGCTCCACTTCCTTCCAGCTGTGTGGTGCACCCTGGACCTGTTACCTTCCCAGACCGGCACTTTCCGTATCTGTAGAGTGGGGTTGTGAGGATGAAAAGTGAGAGAACTTGGCGCTGAGGGAACCCACTAGGCAGGTCCTGTGTGAGTTAGCTGGCGTGGGCCCTTTCAGATGTGGAGGAAAGCTGGTGGTGAGCCAAGGGGCTCCTCAGACGCCCCAAATCAGCATCTCAGTTCCTTGTTTCAGATCAGGGCTGGAAATCCCCCCAGGGCGGCGATTACTTGGGGCGCAGGAAGCTCGCATGCGCGCCCCAGAAACAGGCCCAGGAGGCTGGCTGGTGGCAGTGGCGGGCTGCTTCATGCGCTGGCCCCAGCTTTGCACCAGGGTCCTGTGATCCCATTCACAGAAGGAAAACTCAGACTGGTGATGAGGCCCCAGTTATATTTTGGCGATGGGGGTTTGGTTTTAAAGATGATTCCACACAGCCTGGTGTAGCAGGTTTTCTGAAGCCAGTCTTTGGGACGCTGGAGGGGTCAGACTTGTGACTGGGTTGCAGAGGCGCCACCCTGAGGGGTGCTGCAGGGAGGCCTGGCCTCCTCACAGAGAGGGCAGGTTCTTATGAACTGTTGGGTAGGCATGCGGCCTGGTCTGGGCTCTCCGCAGGCCCCTGTTACAGGGAGGCACTTAGGCCACCTCTGAGCATGGGCTGGGCACGGGCACGAGGAGCTCCCGCCCCAGCCGCGGGAGTGTGTGGTGCCCGCCTGGGGTCTCACCGCTCGGAACAAGCCACGTGGTTTGGATCAGAGGCGGGAGGCTCTGAAAGGCTCCCTGTGGAGGGAGACAGCATCCTACCCAGCCCTCAGCCCTTCCTTCCCCCTTCCAGTGCCCGATGGCGGCAGCATGAGGCCACTGTGAGGAGCTGGAGACAGGTACTTGCTCACTCACCTCTGAACAGCTGCCAGTCCTAGATCCAAGGAAATCTCCCATCCAAATGTTGGGAAATAGGTGTAACCTTTATTTGTAGCAAAATTCAAACATAAAAATGGAGTACAGTAACCATTCTGCTCCAGCAGATACCAGCTCACAGCCCTGCGGCTCGTTTCATCTGCCCCTCCCGCCACCCACGCCCGGGCGTGATTCTGTAGCAGATCCCAGCTCGCATCTGTCTTTTCAGGAAATACTCTAGAACGTGTCATTGAAAGATGAGGATGTGTGGTGTGTCTTTAATGGTTCACACACAGAGTGGCATGCTGTGGAGTCGTGCACAGGTTTGCCACTTCTCCCTGTGACCCAGGGTGTGGGAGGGGTCGGGTGTCACCTGCGCACCTGCGTAGCTCCGGGCCCCTAGCCCAGGCCACTTCTCAAGGGTACTATCCCCTCCCTCGGGCTCTACCTGTGTGTGTCCAGCTCCACTTCCTTTCTCACGTTTGCTGTGAGCTGAATGGCAGATGTCACTGGTTAGGCTGCCTGGAGTTGTGGCTTAGCACAGGCTCAGGGGCTGTCCGGGGAAGAAGGTGCCGGCCTTTCCTGGAGCCTTTCTCAGTTCTCATGTGGAAAGAGCCTTGGGAACGCTGACATCCTTATGTTGGGTGAGGAACTGTCCCCTCCCTGCCCTATGCTGTGTCTCTGGGGCCTCCCTAGAGCACGAGTGAGGATGCACTCAGCAGCAGGCCTCTGGTGGTGGAAGCCCGTGTGCTGGGTATGCTGGTGACTGCCGCTTCGGCCTCTGCCTGGATGCGGACTGCCCTTCCTCGGCATCGCCAGGCTGGTGTCTGTGGCCCAAGACCAGGCCTCCTCCCCACGGGGTCTTTCTGTGAGATTCTAGACAGGTGTGATTGATGGTTCCTTCCCTGGTAACCCCTGTGTTCCTGACTGTGCCTTATGGCTCTCTAGGATCTGAAAGCACTCAATGTGACAGTTAAGTCCATCATTGTTCGTGTCCCAGGCCGCTAGGCTGGACCTGCGTGCACACCTGCCCTTCTGGCCCCCCACTAACTTGCTGCCCTGTCTTTGGAATGGGCACCTCAGGGGACCCGCCAGCTTCCCTGAGTGCCCCCACCCACTGCCTGGCCCTGCTGTCAACTTGCGCCACCGTCCTAACACCTTTGCTCTTCATGGGCACTTGCTGCAGCAATAAAGAGGCCAGATTGACAAAAATCAGGGGGCAGGGACAGCCACTGTTGGCAGAAATGGAGGCAACACCTGGCTCCACTGACTTGAGCCACACTGATCTGTGTCAGTTGATGCATCCCTAGCAGAAAAGTGAGCCGCTGCAGTCCCTGACGTGATTCCCGCCCCTGTTGGGAAAGCCAGTTGGCAGGTGGTTGGAGAGGGTTTTTTGGACTGGGAATAAATCCCAAGGGAGATGTCCCAAGGAAGAAGCGGCTGCAGATGTGCCAGGCTATTCCTGACTGAGAGGCTGCAAACAGCCTCTGGGCCAGCGACGTGGCCCTGTGAGCCCGGAGAGCTGTCTTGGAGGGTAGCACTGGGCTGGCTCCTCAGGCAGAGCGGAAACGAACCATGCTATGATTAGGGCCCAGTGTGTTTCCCTCCAGACAGGGGCGGGGAGCGACCTAGGTGGTCTGTGGGGGTGGCAGCTCAAGTTGATAGAAGACAGTTGTGTAGGAGCCAGCTCAGGTGCCCTGGGGCTGCTCTACCTCAGGGTCTGGTCCTTGCTGTTGTCCCTGTTGCCCTGCTCCAGGGCTTTGGTGTTGCCTTGCATCTGCTACTGGCA